ACACACATTTGAAATTCATCATTTTCCCAATACACGGGGGGAGAAAACTAAAGGAATTTTCTCAATTTAATTTTTAAATTTTATTTACTGGATGAACCTGGAAACCATCATTCTCAGCAAACTGACACAAGAGCAGAAAATCAAACACCGTATATTCTCACTCATAGGCGGGTGTTGAACAATGAGAACACATGGACACAGGGAGGGGAACACTACACACTGGGGTCCGTTGGGGGGAAATGGGGGAGGGACGGGGGGGTGGGGAGGTGGGAAGAGATAGCATGGGGAGAAATGACAGATACAGGTGAGGGGACGGAAGACAGCAAACCACACTGCCATGTGTGTACCTATGCAACAATCTTGCATGTTCTTCACATGTACCCCAAAACCTAAAATGCAATTTAAAAAAAAATGTACTTACTTATTTTGAGGGAGAGTCTCACTCTGAAGCCCAGGCTGGAGTGCAGTGGTGCAATCTCAGATCACTGCAGCCTCCGCTTCCTGGGTTCAAGTGATTCTCTTGCCTCACCCTCCCAAGTAATTGGGAATAGGTGCCTGCCACCACACCTTGCATGCGTGTGTCTGTCTGTCTGTCTGTCTGTCTTTAGTAGAGACAGGGTTTTGCCATGTTGGCCAGGCCGGTCTCGAACTCCTGACCTCAGGTGATCTGCCCGCCTCAGCCTCCCAAAGTGCTGGGATTACAGGCATTAGCCACTGCGCCTAGCCTAATTATTTCAATTTTAAATGTTACTTCCTCCCCCCACCCCCATCTTTTTTTTTCCCCAAACTCTGGCCTTCCCCTGCCTATTCAACTAGAATTTAATGTGAGATATCAACTGATTTGGTACATAACTATACACTTTGTGACTTTGAGATTCTGTGAAGAAAGACTACCTCAACTTCTATACACATTTGAAAACCACAATGCTAAGAGTTGAGGGATAAAAATTGATCCACCATGGCAGATCAATTTCCCCAATCAGTTACAACCCTGTTACAGAGAGAGGAGAAATAAAAAATTAAATTAAAAATAAGAAATTTTAATGAATGATGAAAAAGTCAGTCAAGCAAGTTCTACAGGAGATCTGTGAAAGGAGTGAGATCATTAGAGAAGTAACATAGTAACGACAAAGTTGATTCAAAAGAAGCAGAGTTTAAAGGAAAGAAGTATTCAATATGGCTAGGAGAAAAGGAGGCAGCATTGTGCTAATTTCAGGCTGTGCTATGATGTTGCTACTGCAGATCTGTGAGTTTTATCTAGCAAACTCAGTGGTTAAAAAGAGTTGTGATATGAGAATTTTAAGTCAGGTAACACACAAATTCTCAATTTTATGCATTTCAGTCTAAGCTCAATGTCATATAAGGTAAAACCCTCAATAAACAGAAACTAAGCAGATCTCTTACCAGTGATAAAAAAAAAATATGTGAAATCCAAGTCCTTATAAGGAACTAGAACTAGAAATCCTATTTCCTGGGGCTGGGCATGGTGGCTCACGCCTGTAATCCCAGCACTTTGGGAGGCCAATGTGGGCGGCTCACGAAGTCAGGAGATCAAGATGAGACTAGCCAACATGGTGAAACCCCATCTCTACTAAAAATACAAAAAAATTAGCCAGGCATGGCAGTGCACACCTACAGTCCCAGCCAATCAAAAGGCTGAGGCAAGAGAATTGCTTGAACCCAGGGGGCAGAGGTTGCAGTGAGCGAGACTGCACCACTGCACTGCAGCCTGGTGTTGGAGTGAGACTCTGTCTCAAAAAAAAAAAAAAAGAAAAGAAATTCTATTTTCCAATCCTTATTGAAGACTTGGTACCAAAAAACATGCATAGACATTTTTCTATGCATGGCTCTTAAGGCCAGGTAATATTTTCCTTTCAACTTATCTGAATTGTATTCTTAAACCAGATGAAATTAGATTTCTGCTGATTTATCCCACTCTTAAACTCTCATAATTATGGTTTGCTGGAAGAACCTTATCCAAATGGTGTCCTCTCTATGTATTTCAGGTCTCAATAACAGGAAAGAAAAATGTTTTTATCCAGTGGACACTAAATCCTATGGATTATCCCCCTTTGCTTTGGCCACAAGGAAACTCAAAAGTAGTATTTGCAACCTTTTTCTAACAAAGGAATGAACTACCTAGTTTGCATTTCCAGAAGGAAATGTTACCTCAGTTTATTATTCTCTTATATCTATTTTTCTTCTTCTGACTCTCTTACTTGGCCACCTGAATTTTTTTTTCCTAAATTGCCCCAAACTCTTTGTGTGAAATAAGCTGGAGTACAACTAAACAGAAAATCTAGAATTTTCAGTTAAGTAGAATAAAGGGATGTTAAGATTTTACATTTTACTTTACTTTTAAGAAAAATCAAAAAAAGTTTTAATTTAGAGAAAATAAGTCAAAAAAATTTGCAAAAAAGTTTTTTTAAAAAGTCCAGCACACCTAGAATGTACATTCAAGCAAATCTCCTATAACTCTAATATTTGTTTATACCACTATATATTCACAAATAAAACACAGAATAATGATCCAAGGCACTAACAGAGCCTACTAAACAAAATATTTAAATGTTTCAAGTTTTTTCTCTTAAAAAAAAAGAAATGAAGACATCATTTTACATATATTTTAATCATTATGATCACAATAGTTTCTAGTTAAACCCTCGGAAACGCCAATTAAATATAACATCTTACTATCGTGATCCAAGAAACTGTAGACATTCTCTAAGGTTCTATTCTGGGCCTCTCTATACATCCAGTAGGCATTTCTCCCTTCTCAATATCAACCACATCTACGTGAATGATTCCAAAATCTCTATCCCACCTCCATTGAACTACCTTGTCAAAAATCTCTATTTATGTACATATTTTTGAGACAGGGTCTTGCTCTGTCACCCTGAAATATAGGGATGAGATCATAGCTCATTGCAGCCTCAACCTCCTGGGCTCAAGCAATTCTTCAAGAGTAGTTGGGACTATGTCATGCCTGGCTAATTTTTTTATTTTTTTGTAAAGACAAGGTCTCACCATGTTGCCCAGGCTGACCTCGAACTCCTGGGCTCAAGTGATCTGCCTGCCTCAGTTTCTCAAAGTGCTGAGATTACAGGTGTGAGCCACCCTGCTTGGCCTAAAACCTCAATTTAAATAATTAAAGTGGGCCAGATGTCATCGTTATGTCTGTAATCCTAGAACTTTGGGAGGCCAAAGCAAGAGGATCACCTGAGCCCAGGAGTTTTAGGTCAACCTGGGCAAAACAGTGAGGTCTCATCTCTACTAAAAATAAAAAAGTTGGCCAGGAGTGGTGGTATGTGCCTGTAGTCCCAGCTACTCGGAAGACTGAAGTGGGAGGATGGCTTGAGCCCAAGAGATCAAGGCTACAGTGAACTGTCATCACACCACTGCATTCCAGCCTAGGTGATAGAGCAAGCCCCTGTGTCTTAAATGATCAAAATGGAGCTTCATTATCTTTGTCTTCTGCTTCAGACCTCTTAAACAGTTTGTTCCAAAGATCTCATTTCTGACAATGATACCATCATTCTGCCCAATTCCAAGGCTTCAGTCATCTCTGATCCCTTCCTTATTTTTATCTCTGGTATTCCATCCTATCAAGCCTGATCACTTATTTTGAACTGATCCAACTTCAAAGTGATACCCAATCAAACTATTTCTCTTCATTATTATTCTAGTTCTTTTGGCATTGTATTCTTCATTTGCCTGTTTATTTTCTTTCTTCGGGCCCTAATAAGTTGGCTTCTCTGCCTTATCTCTGTCCTCTTGGACTGTCCACCTCATCCTAAATTCCACTGTCTCAGGATTGTTTTTTATCAAGTCACTTCCCTTGAATCTGCAGAACTTCCTATAACATATTATATCAAAGTGACATCCTTCAATCTTAACTTTCAGGACAATCCAGGATCTGGCCCCACACTGATTATCACACGTCTCACAACTATCCCAAAATCACCATCCACTGAACCAGGATAAGCATGTTAATACACCTGCCATGCTAAGTCATTTTGTTTATTCTGCCTCTCCTCTGTATATATATGCCCTCCTCCCTGCCTTAGCCAACTTTTATTAATTCTTCAGGACATGGCTCATGTCTCATCTCAACAATGAAGCCCTCTGCTTATTATATCCTATATGGACTGTTTTTGATTTCCTTCTGAATGTATAATCAGTATCAAACTGCTCGGAATTGTTCTCTAATTGTTTCAGGTCTAAGCTTCCCAGGGTGGTCTCATCCATTCCCACGGTTTTAATCACAAACCGTAAGCTGACTTCCAAATCTAAATTTCTATACTCGTCCTCTTCACTAAGATTCAGACTCATATATCCAGCTGCTTCCCTAGCAGTGCCCCTGGATATCTAATAAGCAGCTCAGATTTAACATGTCCAAACAGAATTCTTACTTTTTAACCAATGAGACACACTTATCCTCTCCTGTCTTGCTCATTTCAGCTCCACTGTTCATCCAGTTCCTCAGGTCAAAAAAATTACAGGTGATTATTATTCTTTTTCCTTCACATCCCATTTCAATCCAGTAGGAAGATTTGCTGGTATTAATCCCAAAATACAGCCCCAATCTATTTCTTTTCATTATCACCCTAGCTCGTTACACTCATCATCTCCACCTGAACTTCTCTAACAGTCTTCCACCTGACCTCTCTGCTTCCACTCTTTCTCCTTTAGTGTATCCTTCACAGAGCAGCCAGAATGATCTACTCCATGCCAAAATGAAATCATGTAACTCTACAGCTTAGAACTCTCCAAAGGCTTCCTACTACATTAGACTAAACAGACTAACAGACTCCAAACTCACTATGGCCTAGAAGGCCCTACATAACGTGCCCCATTCCTACCTTTCTGAACTCACTTTCTACAATTGTCCATAATTGAACAGGTTTTCCTAATCACTCCTTTCTACTACAACCACTTAAACTTCATTAAAATGACAACCACTGGGCAAGTGAGTCAAATGAAGCAAACTGAAGTCTTACTTAATGTTATAATGTCCAGTTTTCAGCGTACATCTATCAGGAAGTTGAGCAAGTTTCCTCGAGAGCATTTTAAAATACTTTCTGCACTCCTGCATTCCTGTGCTTTGTTCATAATCAGTAGAAGCAGAAAGTGGCAGTCCATCTCTGACACGAATGACTGAGGCAGACAAAATCATAGACATTTCAAACAACAGAGAAGACCTAAAACAAAATGAACAATTTGGGTTAGATAAAAATTAAAGCCAAACTTGATAAGCATATTTTAAAATGTTCAACTCACTAGCAATTTAAGAATACTAATTAAAATGGCCAGGTGCAGTGGCTGGTGCCTGTAATCCCAGCACTTTGAGAGGCCAAGGCGGGCAGATTACAAGATCAGAAGTTTGAGACCAGCCTGGCCAACATGGCGAGACACTGTCTCTATTAAAAATACAAAAACTAGCCTGGCATAGTGGCGCATGCCTGTAATTCCAGCTACTCAGAGGCTGAGGCAGAAGAATTGCTTAAACTCAGGAGGCAGAGGGTGTAGTGAGCTGAGATCATGCCATGGCACTCCAGCCTGGGCAACAGAGTGAGACTCTGTCTCCGGGCTGGGGAGTGGGGGTACTCCAACCTGGGTGACAAGAGAGATCCTGTCTCAAAAAACAAGTAAGTAAAATAAAAGTAGACTGCATTCTTTTATGTCTGGCCTCTCTAGGATCCTAATATAAATATTAGGAATAGTCTTTATTAATAGGTTGCAAATTTCATGTAGTCTTCAAAGTTATTCTTTAATGACAGATCGATAAATACATGATCCATATTTTCCATAATACATACTGAAAAAAGAACACAATTTTAAGTTCCATTGTTTAACAAGCATTTACTGAATTATCTACTGTGTGCCATGAATCATGCCAATACTAGGAATGAAGAGTTCCTACCATCAAGAAACATCACCCCCCAAAATTAGAGAAATTCAGATGAAAAGAGGAAATAACAGAGGTGTGTTGTCCACCACTTCATTCACTGGAAAACTAAAGTTGGACAAACATACATTTCACATATTTCTTTTTTTGAGACAGGGTCTGACTCTTGCCCAGGCTGGAGTGCAATGGCTTGATCTCCACTGACTGCAACCTTTGCCTCCAGGTTGCAGCGATTCTCCTGCCTCATTCCCTCCAGGTAGCTGGGATTACGGGTGCCCACCCCCACACCTGGCTAATTTTTGTATTTTTAGTAGAGATGCGGTTCAGCTGTGTTGGCCAGGCTGGTCTCAAACTTCTGACCTCAAGGGACCTGCCCCCCTCGGGCTCCCAAAGTGCTGGTATTACAGGCACGAGCCACCGCTCCTGGCCTCAAATATTCCTAATGCATACTTTAGCTTTTAACTAATAGCGGAACATGGCAGTTATATTCCCTGTCAAAATTCTTATAAGGTTGTCAGAGGATTGTTTCTACTGACACATAGTTAGGATTTTTCTTAGGGAAAAAATTAAACCTCTTCCTACGAGAGTAATTTGATTCAGCATCCAAACAAGTTGAATTTAAGCCTGACCAACTGGGATGAACGTCCAGTGATCAATGTCAGGCTTAACCAATTTGTAGACAGACTCCAATCACCTTAGGCTAAGCTGTCTCTCCATCAATTCAATAAATTACTTTTTTTCTTTTTACCATAGATTCATAATGTAGTTTGTTGTTTTTAAACTAATCTTATCTGGACTGTGGTAGCAGAAAAGAGATTCTGTCCATATCAAGCCCAAGCTAGGTTAGAGTATGTTTAAGGTCTAAGAAAGGTTGTGGTTGGCAAAATGCCAAGGAAGAACCAGTGGAACTGTGGACAGCAAGAGGTTACAACAATTGCATGGGAAGATTTAGGAGTTTTTAGCTTAACAGGGCCATAGACAAATGCTTATAGCACTGGTCCATTTCTCCTCACCTTTAATACAGAGAAAATATACCCGCTTTAGACAGCAGCAGTTAACTCATGGGGAATCTGAATAGTGGCAACTGTTGAAGGAAAAAGCACAAGTTAGAATCTAGTTAAATCTGGGTAAACCTGTATGTAGAGGCTGAGGAAAATAAATTCCCATAACGCCAAACTACCATAGTAGTGTTAGCACGTTCTTAGACCTAAGATAACAAGACGCCTCTCTTCTTCAGGACCAGCCATGCAAATTTGGGCAAGCTTTGCCATATCTCAACTTCCACACCCACATATTGTGGCTACTAACAGTATCTACCTTACAGGCTTGTTTTAAAGATGACAATAGTATCTATCTCATAGGATCATGTAAAGCACCTGAAACACTGCCTTGTAATATACCAAAAGCACTATATTAAGTATTTGCTATATTATTTATTGATTACTCTCTATGGACCACGCACTTCATACAAATTACCTCATTTAAGCCTTTCAAAAACCTGTGAGGTAGGTATTATTAGTTCCATTTTACCTTTGAGGAAACTCAAGCCCAAAAAGCTTAAGGAATTTGTTTAACCCCTAAACTAATAAGCGACAAAGAAGGGATTTAAACTCAGGCCCAACTCTGACACTGTGAGACACTATCAACATATGCAAACTTCTTACTCGAAAACATGTCAAGGAAGGTCACAGGCACCCCTGTGATAGGGCCTGGGCCTCTTTCATATACCAACATAAGATATACTTCGATTTTAATCAGTTGCACACAAAAATAAAAAGCACCAAACAGATGTGATGTTTTCAACAAAGGAAATACCCGAATGTCCATTAATTTAGGTTATGGTCACAGGTGTCAAATAATGAACCTTAATATACCAGAAATTGTAGGTACCATAAGGCATTGCCTGATTCCTTACAATCTAAGCATGTAACCAAATATCAATAACACGGAAAGTGATTCAGAGTTTTAAAAGTGGCTGTTCCCCCTGACTGGAGATCCCAACATCTCCAGTCTGGTGTCTGACACTTTTGCTCTGAGCTAGACTTTGCCTTGGCTGAATAGGCATAGGAAGGACTGGTTCTCAAGCTCGCCACCTGCCCCAGGTGGATGATCCAGGAAACTAGGCAGCAGGAGAAAAATTATCTTCAGCTGTATTCACTGACAGAGCGATTCAAGCCAGCTGGGGCTTGTCCTGTTCTTTCGGAGACCTCCTCCACTTGTCGAGCCAATTACTCAGGTCTCCCTTCTGCCACATCGTTTCGAAAGTGACTCTTGAGACAGGGTCTCAAGAGGTTTATGTGAGCCAACATGGGCAAATATCTAGGGTCAATGCTCACTCCATCCCCACAAGACATAAAGACACTGGTTCAAGTCCCATTCTGCCTAAAAGAAATAAGAAACGCCACCTCAAGCTCTCGCGGGCCACTTACACAGGTAGATCCCCGTGTTTCCGACTTCTGGGCGCCAGGGAATCCCCACCACTACGCTGACAGCCAAGGGCGACTGTCCCTCCCCCTCAGACAGTCCTCCCCTGGCTGCCCAATACCTGAGGCAGCACAGACAAGGCGCAACGGCCGCCCGCGTGGCCCAGCAGACCCCTCAAGTCGAAGGGGACGGGGTCCCCGCTTGCCCGCCCCTCCAGAGCTCCGGGGCCCCAGCTCCCACCCCAAAGGCACAGACTTGGCTCCTGCCCGTCGGGTAGGTCTTCAGTCCCGAGGGCGAAGGCCGAGGCTGTGGCGGCGGACAGGGAGAGGAAGGGGGGCGGCCGGCTGGGGTTCGAAAGACCCCTAAGAAGGGAAGAAGGGGACTGGGAGGGGCAGGGGAGTACCTGTCGAGCTGGAACCCACCGCTCCGAGTGACGCGGCCGCAGTGCATTGTGGGTCCTGGGAGGAGCCTTTCGACGAGGCTGCGGTGCGTCCAACGTGGCTCGCCACGCGGAATCAAGCCACGCCCCCGTTCCCTCGGCTCGCCCTGGCCAATCGGGTTCTGTGAGAAGGACACAACAACCCGCCCACTCCCGGGGCCCGCCTTGGTCCCACCCCATCCAGGAGAGATTGGCAGCCTCTCCCGCACCTGCGCCAGAAAAGTACCGCGTCCTCTGATGACAGAACTGCCCTGGCTTCAGAAACAGGGCCAGTCTCCTCCGCTCGCCGCCCTGTATCTGCAGGCATTTTGTCTCTCACGCTGCCCTACGGCAAACACTATCAAACGGGCAGGGAGAAAAGCCCCCTCTGGGTGAGCAAGGAGAGGACCTAGCCCCGTCTATTCCCACACACATGAAGGAAACTAACCATAGCAGAGACGTGCCAGATGCTGACCCTGCGACCCCTTCCGGCCCTTGCATCGGTCGTATATTATTAAATAGGCATTAACTGACTGTTTACCATGTGCCAAGCACCGTGTTAAGCACGGGGTTACAGGAGTGGACATAACACTTGATGGAATTTAAGACGTAATAGGAGCAAGAGACATTAAAGCACAAATAGTTACAGAATCATAAATTGTGATCGGTACTGGGATGGAAAATTAGTGGGTGCAATGATGAATTAATCTTGGACTGTCAGGGAAGAGTCCTCCGAATAAGTGCCTTTTAAGCTGCAGGCATATTAAAGAGACTTAGAGAATGTTCCTGGTCAAGAAAATGTGATGTGTGAGGTTGTTGGGGCATGAAAGAACTTCGTGTGCTCTAGGAACTAAAAGGAAGTCAATATGATTGGAGTGTAGGGAACAAGGAGAAACTTTACGCGTTGACCTTAAGATATCTTACAAAATACAGCCTGAAATCTGTAATGTGGCCAATAAGAGCCAGCGTGGTCTGGCCCTTGTCTCATCTCAGCCTAAGGTCAATGGGCAGCTAATAAAGACTATTATTAAGTAGATTCTTATTTGCATATTTAACAATCACTCAAGCTGTTTGTGGGGAATAGATTGGAAGAGGGCAAAAAGGGCTGCTGGGAGGTCAGTTGGAGGCAGTTACATCAGACAAAGCCAGAAATGATGGTGGCTTGAACTAGTGTAATGGGAGTTAGAGACAGAGGTGGATAATTTCAAGATATGTATAAATCAGAGATGGTATCCAAGGGACTTAATAATAGATTGGTTTGCCAGGAAGGTCAAAAAAGAGGAATATTAAGGATGACTCCTTAAGTAGCTAGATGGATTAAGAAGCCATTTTCATGGAACACAAAAAGAGGAGGAAATGGTTTGGAATAGGTTAAATTTGAAATGCTTATAAATGGACATGTCAAGTAGATTTGGATATGTAAACCTAGAGTTCAGAAGAAAGGCCTGAACTAACATAAATTTGGTCCTACTCAACAGAAATGTATTCATATATTCACCAGAAAACATATGTATAAGAATGTTCATGAAATGAATAAATTTTAGAATATTCTCACTGGGCGCGATGGCTCATGCCTGTAATCCCAGCACTTTGGGAGGCCGAGGTGGGCGGATCACTTGAGGTCGGCAGTTCAAGACCAGCCTGGTCAACATGGTGAAACCCCATTTCTACTAAAATACAAAAAAATTAGCCAGGCATGGCAGTGGGCATCTGTCATCCCAGCTACTTGGGAGGCTGAGGTAGGACAATTGCTTAAACCCAGGAGGAAGAGGTTGCAGTGAGCCAAGATCATGCCACTGTACTCCAGCCTAGGCAATAGAGTGAGACTCCATCTCAAAAAAAAAAAAAAGAATATTCACATAATAGGATACTATAATACTATACACTGTGGGAGGTAGAAAAGTTCCTCTTCAAAATTTCCTTTCTTGTTTAAGAAAAATTCATAAGTGTTAGAAATAACAGTTTGTTTTACACATTTTCTTTGAAAGCCTTCTTGCCTTTTTGCTAGAAGCCCTATACTATGTAGTTGGTAGACATGCTTACAGACACATAGTACATTCTATGTCCTTGTACTTTAACAAAGACATCTGTGCTGGACATGCTCACAGGCATTTCTCAGCTTGCAGCCTATGCCCCTCCTTATTTGGACTTTTTTTTTTTTTTTTTTTCCTCTCCAATGCTTTTACCTGCTTAGAAAAGTTTCACGTTATTAGCCAGTCGGGTTTTAGTTTAGATTGTGAAGTCTGGCTCCACCCAACGGAGATGAGAACAGCAGTAAGGACAACCCCAAATGCTTACGAAATAAATATGTCTGCTTTCCTTTGTTCATTGTACTCTCATGGCAAGATTGCCAGTCGGAGTACCTTTTCTGCAGGAAGTAAAAAAGAATTACTTTGCTCAGAGATCTTTTGTCCCAGTATACATAACATACAGGAAAAATAATAATCTACATCTACAACTATATGCAAAGCATGCATGAATTTCACAAAATTGAGTGAAATAATTCAGACACAAAAAATGCATACTATATGATTCTATTTACATAATTTTCAAAATAAAAAATCATATAAGGTAATAGAAGTAAGATATTGGTTACCTTTAGGTTGTGTGTCTAATTACCTTTAGGTAATTAGAAAGGAGCAATAAGGGGCTACTGGAGTTCTAATAATGTTCTCTTGATCTGGGTGTTGATTACATGGTGTTTTCAATTAATGAAAATTCACTGGACTGGATATGGTGGCTCACACCTGTAATCTCAGCATGTTGAGAGGCCGAGGAAGGCAGATTACTGAGCTCAGGGGTTCAAGACCAGCCTGGGCAACATGGCCAACCCCCATCTCTGCAAAAAAAAATACAAAAGTTATCCAGGTGTGGTGATGTATGCATGTAGTCCCAGCTACTTGAGGGACTAAGGTGGAAGGATTGCTCGAGTTCTGGAGGTTGAAGTTGCAGTGAGCCATGTTTGTGCCATTGCACTCCAGCCTGGGCAACAAAGTGAGACCCTGTCTCAAAAAAAAAAAAAAAAAAAAAAAAAAAGCAAAAGAAGAAAATTCATCAAGCTGTACACTATAATTATGCAATTTTTCAGTACATATTTTACTATTAAATAGAAAGTTTATGTTTTTGCAAATGTTAAGGGCTATGCAGCCATGAATAGGTAAATGATACCAGACTAAACCTCTCCCTACAAGTAATAGAAAACTGGAACTAATCTATGAAACAAGTGTTTTCAGGCATTGGACAATTGGCATAGTAAAACTGTGATCTTGGAAGGAAGGAAAACAAACAAGATGAGCCTCAAAAATATCCACAGATTTCTTTCTGGAGGTATTTACCTAACAGGATAGAAGAAAGCCAAGCAGGGTTTGTTGAGGACACAGAAATTGGTATTAATACTGATCGAGACAAATGATATTTGTGGAGCAGACTGCCAGAGAACCCTCCAGAAATACACATAAGGATTCCTGTGAATCTTTGATACAGCTTTAAGGATAGACCCTGTGAGGCTGGTAAATAACAACTACTGGAGAAATTTAAGCTGAACAGCCGCAAGAACTTGAATAGAATTTGGAAACACACAGGATCTGACTGACTAGAATGGGAAATCTTACTAAAAACCTGAAGCATTTGGTAAAGACACTCTAAAAAGGCCACACTTTAAAAATAAAGCTAAATTAGCCCAGTGTAACCTTGATCACATCAGGGTTACCACCTGAGATGTCAGTCATCACCTGCGGAAGTCTGAGCTGCAGATCCTGACTCAACGATGGATGAATGAATGCACTCTCACACCATTACAGTATTTCAAGTGGGCTAGGAATGGCTGCTTTCAGAGTGTGAAATGCAATAGACTGACCCGGACCCTCTGTTCATCCACACTTTTATTCTGTCAAGATTTTACAACAGAGGTTCTAAGTTAACACATTTGTGGATAATTAACATGGTTAAAAGAATGGTTTTATGAATAATAAAAGCGTTAGGTTCCTGGCCCACAGTAGACACTATTAAGGGGTAATTCCCCTTTGATCACACCCTGAGAGGATCATCCAGCACAAAGTTTACATGAGTAAACAGAGTGGAAACAAATGGATGTGGGGTAAACAGACTTAACTTAAGCCTTGTCCCTATTTTCTCCCTAACTTAATGGGCCTGTTGGCCTGCCTCAATAAAACCTTTCCACCTTCTAAAAGGTTTAAGATTATAACCTCTAACTTTCCATAAATACTTTCTGTAATATTTTGCTAACAATCCCAAGTGAATAGCAACAGTCCAATAGTAAAGACTATTCTAGACCCACTCAAACAAGCTGAAAAAACTGATCTGCAAGTAAATTAACTGCTTTTTTGAATGAAACTTAAGTCTTTAAAGAAAGACAACAAAATCTAGGCACTTAAACATGTAATATATGCAATGCCTAGTATCCAATAAAAAAAATGATTATGCATATGAAGAAGCAGTAAAACATTAGTCATAAATGGGAGAATAATCAATCAATAGAAACAGACCCAGAAATGACAAGGATTATGAAATTAGTGTTTAAATTCACTTTTCTTCTTTAAATTTTTTTTTTAAGTTTTAGAGGGCATCAGTTGCACTGGGGTTACAAGCAGGTGAGATAAGAACTTTAAAGAAGCTATTATAAATATGGCCAAGAACTTAAAGAAACACAAATAATGTGAGAAATGAAAACCATAAAAAGAACCATATCAAACTTCCAGACCAGAAAACTACAATATCTGAATTGGAAATATTGCTGTATGGGCTTAACAGCAGATTATACACTGCTGAAGAAAAGCTCAGTAAACAAAGTAACAGTGAAAAATAGTTATCTACATTAAAGCACAGAGAGAAAAAAAGTTGAAAATAAAATGAACAGAGCCTTGGTGACTATGGGTTAATAAAAAGTTATCTAACACATGTGTAATCAGAAACTCAAAGAAAGGAGAGGGGATAAAAAATATTTTAAGTAATAATGGCCAAAATTTTCCAAAATTTGATTAAAAAAATATATAAACCCATAGATTCAAGAAAATAAACTAGGCCAGGT